CCTCATCGCTGAGTTTAACCTTCACACAACTGGACAGTATATCAGACCACACGATATTTACAGACTTGCTTGAATAAAAGAAAATATCGTGATGTGATACATCTCGGCGAATCCCCACTGGGTTTCCGTATACAGGAAATAAAAAAATAAAAGTATTTTTCTCTCTATTGTGTACACGTGTGTTCGCCTAGATCAGAGGTGGGCAAAGTGCCACTCGCGGCCCGCCATAGAACTTTTTGTGGCCCGCCTTGAACTGAGATTTGTTTCTTGCCCGTGACGGATAATATTTTTATCTTTGAGCGGCAATTACAATGCGCAGGCTGTGAAAATACGTTCTTTTCCACTTTGTTTTAGTTCAATGTAATGTTATCTAAAAAATACAATCCTTTTAATTTGAAGTTTTTTGTTGTGATCTATGAATATGATATTTAAAAAAAAAAACATGCATTTTTTATGTTGGTTTTTTTTTTTTTTTTTTTTTTGCAATTCGTTGAGTTTTCGATTTCATGGTTTTCTTTGTACTTACTAGTTTTTTAGAATGTTGACATGTATTAGTAACAAAAAAATTGTGTTATATAATAAAAAAATTGTTTAAGGATAAAACTGGTTCACTGCATCATTCGACTGAATTTTAAAATTATTAAATTTCGTTATAAAGGACATTTTTAAAAAAAATAATTACGTTGAAGCTTGCAGGTTAAGTGTGGTGTTACTTTTATCAAAAAGCTTATCTTTCTCCAACTGCCCAACCCCATCCACCAACTCATCTTTCTAACTTTCGCTAATTCTGATGAACTGTGTATAATATTTTAAATTTTAATTTTTATTTTGCAATGATTAAAGAAAGGCTGGACACTTTATTTATTCATGCAGGCGAAGAGTGTTGAGTAGCGACGATTGAGATCCCCCACAATTATAATCTCAAAATGACAGCTGCTTTACTCTATATTGTGTTTATTGGACTTGTGTCCCCTTCTGTCAAAGGATAAAATTCGGAACAAAAACAAAGGTACAAAAAAGATAATCCACACCTCACATTAGTGAGTTTAGTTTTGTCAAAAATATATATTGAGTTGTTTCCCTTAGTACAAAAAAAACAACAACAACGCAAAATAAAATGTTAATTTTTGCCAGTTAGCTTGATTAAAAAGGTAATGTTTCAGAAATCATAGTTTAATAAATAAATGTCAACCTAGGCAATGCTTAAATATTATTAGAACCATATTTTTATTTTATAAATATTTTAAAATGTGAAGTGGCTGTTAAACAAGATTTTGACATTTTAAAATAAATTATTGGACTTTCTACCTAGTGTCTAAAAATGACAAAGTTCTATACAGCTTTTAGGATCGTCACGTTCTTTAATTGTGATCTCAATGGCTTGTTCATTGTCACTTTTAATCTTTAAACATTAATACGAAAGCTTAAAAGTTATTTTGAATAAAAAAATTGTATTCGATCTATTTCAAATCTAGTTTTGTATTTTTTTGTCGGTCACATTTTCATATAAAAATCTTGCGTCATTACTTTTTTAAAAATATTACTAATAATCAAAATATATTTACATTTAATTTGTTTTCAAAAAAGCAATTACATTTTCTTTTTTAATGTAATGAAAATGTATAGCTATTTCAACAAAAAAAAAAACAACATTATTTTAACTTTTATGTCGTTTTTATTTAAGACTTAAAATTTAATTTTCACGAATATTTGTGATATTTTGTTTTCGGCCTTGTATACGAAATAATATATACTTTTATTTTTCTCAAAGTACAAAGCTGCTATAATGATGTAGGAGAAGTGTTCTCTGATCACTGCTACTTTGTGTCGTATACATCAACAACATGGAAGGTCTCACAGCATTTATGTACTGAAATGGGGGCTAACCTGGTAACTTTAAAGTCCAAAGAGGAGATCGCTTTCTTAAACAGAATGGTAAAAAAACAAATCAATAAACCATAGCCAAAATGACAAAATAACTTTTTTCTATTTTTGTTTTTGGCAAAAGAAAGTTAGGGAGAGTTCGGCCAAAGAAATCTGCAGATCTATGGTTGGTACCCTACACCCCAGCAGGACAGAGGAATTAGTAGACCTTTGGTTGGTGTCTATAGCCCAACATTACAGAGACATTCTATAGATCTTTGGTTGGTGGCCTATAACCCAACAGAACATATGATTTTGTAGATCTTTGGTTGGTGGTCTATACCCTAGACGATGTGACGGGTTATGATGAAGATGTTGACGATGCTGATGAAGATAAAAATATCTGGTTTAAATATATCGTATGGAGTCATTAATTCCACCGCTTTGTTTGAGGTACCCAACTCACTTAAAGGAAATTGAAATTGAAATTCCTTCTTATGTCCTTGTCGCAAAAAGCAGGCGAACTCTACTTCGTATAAAATTATCATTGATTGGTTTAAAATGACACCTTTTTTGTACTACTTAAAGCACAAGCACTATTTTATTTAAGAAAATAACTTAAAGAGACTTCATTGAATGAAAGATATTATTTTTATTTTTTAAGGTGTTTTTGGGGTATTGTTGGATTGGTTTGTACGCTGAGTCAGTTAATCAGCCATAGAAGTGAGTTGCTTGTATCGTTGCTTGTACACTATTACACACAGCTTTCGTTGTATGTCCACAGTTTTACTCTCAATTTAACTCGTGTAAATGTTTTGTTTTTTATAGTTAAAATACGGTTGAAAATATAATTTTAACAAGCTTTGTTTAAAGATTGGAATCGAATTCCCAGATGGGTTGATGGAGGGGAATTAAACTTCACAAGATGGAGTGCTGGACAGCCGAACCTAAAGGATGAACACTGTGTATTTATATGGTCAAATTGTGGTAGAGTCAATTTCAATCCATAGTTTTAATTTATTATTTACATATTTAAGTAGAGTAATAATCAACAGTAATTACACTTAGTTTTATGTAAGTGTAAAAGAAGTTTGATACGTGTAATTTATATTTTGACTTTTCCCAGATCAGTGGCATGACTACCCATGCACTTATGAAGCTTTTTCATTGTGTTAAAAACCTTTCAATCAGACCCGTTATAAGCTGATCACAAAAACAATAGATGCGGGACAGAAATATGTTGACCAATACAATAAGAGGAGCTTTTTAAATTTTTTTTTACCTATAATCATTTTTTAATACATAAATATACAAAAATATCAATAAAAAGGAGTTCAAATGTATATTTCTTTATCAAATATTTCAATGCATATATTATATGTGCTTAGAGTTTACAATAAAACAAATGCTTTTAAAAAAAAAAATTAAAGCGCTAAAAATAAGAAAATAAAACTAATTTGATTTCTTTTAATAAAAGATTTTGTCGCTCATGACATCTTATACATACTTAGCGATCAAATCTTTTCTGAGAGAAAGAAATTTAGTTTATTTACTATAATTAATTTGCATATTCTTCACTTTCAGAAAATAAAACTTTCAGCGTGGTTTTGTCAGCTTCTCATAAACCAAGTATGAGTTCTGTGTTTTTGCTGCAAACTATCAACTCGATTGTGATTTTTTGGTTTATCCCTCTGTAAGGCAGGTAAATGCTATTTGAGCTGCTTTGTGTTAATGGGTAAGCTTTCCTTTTTTTAAATATATTTTATTGTGTAATTTAGTCAACAACTTTTAGATAATTCCCTAAATATAAACAAAATTTCAAAAAAATATTCTATTCATCAGCAAACTTTTATTCTCAGATATTTTCCTTTTTACTTATTACAGTGCAGTCATAAAACAATAAAACAGTTTGTTGGCGTATTTGTCAATAACAAGGAACGTGTTTTTTTCCGAAAAAAACTTTTATAAAGGTTGATAACTCCAAAAATGTACTTTTAATGAAAATAATAAATCAGTTTTAATGTGTAATTATCGTCCTTTCTTTGGAAAATATTGTCTTCGTTTTAACTTATAGTAAGTTTTCTATGGTCACTTGACAAGAATGTAAAATGGCATTTAAGTGCTGAACCACGTCCAACAGACAAAAAACGTGGGTACGTTCACCATCAAATTTCCCGACCCATCTGCCCGACCCACGTTTTTTGTCATCAAATGTATGAACAGTCATCACAAGAACCTGCACAGCTCGAGGAAGCACAAAATCCACGAGCAGTCATTGGTAGATCCCCTAGGGTCGGAAGAAAAATTTATTTTCTACTTTTTAGTCCACAAGAAAAACGTGGTTTTTTTAAGTATTTTATTTTCTCCTTTTTAGTCCGTTGCTACACATGAAAAACGTGTTTTTTTTTAAAGTTTTTTATATAGTTTATTTTCTACTTTATCTAATGACTTGATTAAGTATGACTTGACTAAGTGTTTTTAAATACACGGACTAAAAATCTTGAGCGACAGATACGCTTTAAACAGAGAAGGGGCGTAATTTAATTAAGTCTACATGCCGTGACCAGGATTCGAACCTGGGTTGTCGCGGCCACAACGCGAAATACTAACCACTATACGATCACGGCCACCGCGCTCACATCGATTGGGGCCGAAGTAACTGTGTCAATATTTTCCAGTCTTGTCGGTATCTTTAGAAATCATGTCCTCAATTTTAGGGTCCTTGGGGCGTAATTTAATTAAAGTAATTTATGTCTCTAATTGCTAGTTTTTATGATTGCATCTGAAATTGTTAGGCGAAAATAGCCTGCATGCCGAATTTCAGATCTCTAGAGCAATCAGAAGTGGGCTAATTTTCGTTGTCAATTTTAACAACAAACAAACGCGAAGCTGAGTTAAGAAAAACGTGGTAATAAAAAACTCTGCACTAGCTACAGGAAGCTCACAAAATTGAATAAATCTTTCCATGGCGTCTCCATGTTCAGTGATATATCTGATTGACAAAGAAAATTGATCCATTCTACTAATGTCGAAAGTTGAATCTACAATCACAACGAAATACCTAGCTATCTTAATTTCACCTACTATCTTCTTAAAAATTTGGGCTGATATAGACTTAATTAAGTCGTTTTGCATACCCGGACTTAAGTATGTTGCATTTCTGTCACCGAAAAGTAAATGTTGTTTTAGCAAATCATCTTTCTTAGAAATGAGTTTAATAAGTTCCAAAAAGTTGCCTTCATTTAATATAGCTTCTCCTAAACCTTGGGATTCACGATGGCCCCTAAACGCCAATCCCTGTTTTCCCAAATAGAGAACTGCATCTATAATACTTTCCAGTATTACTCTGTTTTTTTTCTATTTCCTTCTTTTCTTATGTTAAAATGTCACATATTATGGTTCTGTCTTTGTAAAGTCGGAACTTTGTAATTAAAATTTCTCTCTCTCTGCAATCTTCTGACTTTCAGAGTTTTTATGTTTGTTAATTTTGTCGGGACCTTTAGCAAAGTTCATACAACCCAATTTTGGATCGCCCCAAGTGTCTGACTTGTGTTTAAAAAGCCAACAAGCAAAACAAATCATATAATTTGCCTTGGGCGAATATAATAGCCAGTGTCGTATTATTTCACGACTACATTTTGTATGGGGTTTTTTCTTGTACCAACTGGCACTAAAGTGCCGACCAGTTAAATTTTTGGGAAAATCTTTATAACTATCTTTGAGGCCTGGTTGACAAGGACCAAACTCAAGTAATGCACGTACCAGATCCGGTGTTACGGGTGTTTCACAAAACAAAAAAGGATCTGTAGGATATTCCAGATTTATATCGATTATAGCTTTAAGTTTGACTGGCATTGTACTGTCAATATCCTCTTATAAATGGGTGCCTTCTAAAATGTCTATAGACATTACCTTATTGTCTTGAGTCTCGAAGCCTTGATTCTGCATCTGAGAAGATGTTGTTGCTTGTACATTTTGTATTTGGGTATCTTGAGACACAACAACCTCTGGTTGTATTGTTGTAGCAGTTAAAGGCGTACAGCTTGAAAAATATGTATCCAGTTTGACACATTTTAATGACGATTGTTGGCGATCAGAAATTTCTTTCAATCTCTTCCTCTCCCACCCCGAATATTTTTTCTTTTCTGGTTTCCTTTCCATTTAATAACCTTTTAACTAACGAATTCTAAGCGCAACTGTTGTCTTATTCGCAATATAGTTAGTATGATACACCAAATAATTTAAATGGTGCGATTACTTTTTGATAATTACTAACTATTGGAACAAGTTCAAACGATACATCAGCTGAGCGGATAATTAACTGTGCTCTCGGGGTTAGTTTAAGTTGAGTTGTTTTTTAAATACAAAATATAGCCTTATTCAAATTTAAAATATAGATCTAGATCTAGTAAACTAAAATAATATTTAATATAAAGTTGATACTGTTTTATATAATTTGTAATCGTAATCAGTATCGCCCAAACAGTAAGAATACTACTTCTTCATCATGATGACGTTGTTTAACCTTGTCAAAATTTCCCCACCGCTACGCAGTTTGCCCATAAGTAAATTTAAATAGAGGTGTCACAGTAGTTGTATTTGTTTCTGTATTGTAATTTTTAAAAAATCAATCACACTATTCAAACTGTATATATAAAGTAATTTTTTGGGAAGTTTTAAGTATAACATTTTCTAATTCAATTATTCGTAAACAAATACATAATACATTATACCGTGGATTTAAACTTAACACCCCTCTTGTCAAGTGGTACCACCCGTAGATGGTTTTTAAACATTGCATTGCATCGTAATGGTGATTTTTAGAACGGCAAACTGATGCAGCTGTTAATACGTGTTGTAAACGTAGATAGTACTAGACTAGTACAATAATGCTTAATTGCTGCATGAAAAGAAATCTTGTGATTTACAAAGATGTGCCGAACAAAAATATTTTTTAACAAATATCATTGTTTAAAACTTTGAGTTTAAAAAGTTTCCAAAAAGGCGCCACTTTGCTGAAAATGGCCAGAGGGGGAGCGGCCGCTCCCCACTGCGTACGCTACTGCAGTGAGGTGTAAAACGTCGAGATTTGCAAAAATCTCGATTTTTTATTTATTTTGCAAGATTACAAGACTTTCTCTATACTTCGTATATACTAGAAAGTAAAAAAGTGTCGAAATTGCTAATTTTTATTTTCAAAAGCAAAAATATTTTGTCAATTTGAAGAAAATATTTTTATTACTATACATTAAAAGAAAACACCAATTACAAGTAAAGCATATAATGTAATGTAAAAAATAGAATATGTTCAAGGTTTTCCACAACGGTTAAAATTTGTTTTTTTAAAATTCATCATATATTTGTTGCAGAAACAATTTTCTTTTCACTACCATAATTTTCTAGTAGTATATCCCCCCAGCCCACCTACCAGCTATACATGACAGACCTATTGTGAGAGCGATCGATTTTTTTAAGACGTCACTTTTAATTTATTTACACTCAAAGTTTGAATTAATTTTATGAAATAAAAAATATTTTGTGCTCTATTGTTTGTACTTATGTCTGCACATGCATATATTTATTCTTAGTATTTAAATAAATTATACAGAATGCATTAAAATTGGAGTTTTCTAGCAATATTACACCACTCTGACCACAATAATATGAAGTAGTCTGTAAAAATTTCCCGAAACACATACCCGAGATTTAAAAATATAATTTTTCGTAATCAAGTTTTTAAAAATTGATTCAGAAAATCTGCTATATAATTAATGTACATTCTAGGTTAAAGCGATGTACAATATAAACAGCAACAACATGTAGCAATACACATATGAAGTTGATACTTTAATTAATAAACATTAATGGCTTAGTTTTTCAGTTGATAATAATTTGCTTAAATCATTTTTTTTTAAATAGTTAGTTTACATTACAAGTAAAGATAGGGCCTACTATACCAAGAGAATAAAATTATATTAACAATATTCACAAAATAGGTATTACACAGTTTTCGAAAATATAATATAACTGTTTCCATACAATTTTTATATATAACATTTCAATGGATTTAATAATGGCATGCAGTGAATTGTTTAGAAATAATACAATTTGACCAAAAACAACTACGTTTAACACTACAAATGCAGGTGCTATACATTTAACAAAATATATTTTCCTCATACATTACTTATATGGATATGAAGATTAGAGGATATAAGTATGCCATGTTCAACACATGTTGATTGTATGCATTTGAAAAAAAAATAGACAACACTTATATTGTCTTGACATTAGGCTAGATTGCTGTTTAAAAAAAAATCCTAGCTTATAGTGCTCAATAGCCCCATATATATTTAGCAACTTTGGTTTTTCGAGTCAAATAAACATTTTTTAAACAAACAGTAACAAGCATCGGCCTTACAAGACCGTAACGTCAATGTTAACAAAAAAATCGGAATAGCACAATTTATCTTAAGCATACTACATTAAATTTTTGTAAAAAAATGAAATAGTATTTTTTGTAATAATTGATTAGTTAGTGGATCTGACTTTGCCTTTTCTAGTATAAAGTATTTTTATTTTAATCAATCAATTTTCTTTACGTTTATCGAAACAAGAAAGATATTTTACAATTAGAATTATGTTCAATTAAATATACTATTCTCTGGATCAAAAATCTATAGACTTGCATATATATTTTATTGTGCTTAGCAGATGTCGATCTATTATATCTTTGTTCTGTAGTTTTATACCCACTGAGGATTGTCTTAAACACTAGTTATAGCTCTGTAAAAGTGTCTTTGTTGAAGTAACATCAAGATTAGTTAAAGTGCATACAGTATAAAACATCACGTTTAGTGAAATAATATAAGTTATACAATATATCAAGGTTAGTAAGGGAATATGCGCTTTTTTTTTCATTTTTTACCATTTTAAGATCTAAAGCCTTTTAAATACTTTTTTCATGTTTGGCACATGAAAGTAAGTATTAAGCAGCTGAAAAGTGTTGAAAACAATTTTGGTTGTCATAAAAACCCAAAAAGAAAACCTCCACCATTATGAGTTGTTCGATAAAAATGCTAAGACTTTTTTTAAATTTATGCACCTATAGCAATTAAATTTAAACTGCTTATATTTCAGTATATATTAAAATTTTTGTCACTAAAATTTTCTTAAGCGACTATTAAGAATTTTACATGGTCTAAAAATTCGTTCCCTTTTTAGTATTCAAAGGTTCAAAATTTGCATATTAATTACCAAATACTTTTTTAAGACAAAAGTTTTAGTTTTTGCATGAAATTCAATTACTGAAAATGTAGTGGATATTGTTCAATAGATAAAACAGAAGTAGGCTTTTTAGTGTTAAAAACCTTCAAACTGAGAAAAACAGCCAAAAGTAACAAAAAGTAGGTAACGAAAATATCATATCTGAGTAAACTGCAAAGCCGATTGTAAGCTTTGAGTGTTCCCGAGATCATGAAAATTTACTTTGGTGTTTTTTCTTTGGTGAACAAAGACGGCTGTAAAAAAAAAAATCCTTACATAAGAACATGCTAAAGTTAGCTAACGTGTCACAAGCAGTATTAAATGTTGACACGTGTGACTTCCGTGTGATGAAGTACATTCTTAATGAAGCAGGTAAAAAATCAACTGACAAAGTTGAGTATGACAACCAGAGAAATAATTTTGTTAAAATTAAAACAGTCCGAATCTTAAATAGAAATGGATAGCTACAGAAAAAAGCCAGGAAAACACCGAACCTACAGAACTGTGTAAATGTGTCCTGATTGTTTATTATCAAAAAAATGTAAATACGTAAACCTGCCAATCAGGACTTAGGGTTCGTGGACTAATACAATTATAAAATATACTAACTGCATACTCGTGCTCCGCCACGGTGAATCTTTTTTAAATGTACCACTTGGGAACAGAACAAAACTAAACACAAACGCAAACACAAACTCAAACACAACGCAAACTAAAAAACAAACAAAACACAAACTAAAACACAACGTAAACTCAAAAACAAACACAACACAAACGCAACACGCAAACACAAACACAAAAGAAAACGCAAACACAACGCAAGCTTAAATGTAAACACAAAAGCACAAACGAAAACGCAAACGCTCAGAGTTTACAGCGTTGCGCGCGGATGGGGGTCCCCGTATTGGGGCGGATATTCCTTTAGCGCCCCGTGCTGCGCGCGGGTGTCGGTAGCACTTTGGAGCGAGTATGGATATTCCCAAAAATTAATATAAGGTAAAACAATTTAGAGCCGATGCTCTCACTAACGTCCGCCCAGACTCGCGTCGTCATCTAAACCGCCGCCGAACAACCTGTTTTTCAGGGCGTTCGCGCCCAGGGAGAGACTTCCACATGGTTCCAAATTCTATAGCGATGACCGACTGACACACTACCAGCCCGCTTATACTATAGATTTTCCTTCAATTATAATCTGTTTTGCAACACGTAGTTAATTTATAAACAATGAAAACCCAGAGATAACATTTTAATTTATATAGATAATTCCTGCCACCTACATTGAATTTAATTTACAATGAGATTTAAAATTTTAAAAATTATGAAAGCATAACGTGCCTTACCAAAAAGCAGAAAATTTATCTTTTTACATTCATTTTTAAACTCACAAATGTATGGTATTTACTATGTTTCCTTTAAAGATTACTGTCCATCTATATACTACTTAAACTCAATTTTTTTTACATGTTTAAATATTTATTTTTTGTTTATTTTTTTTTTGGTTGTCCGCTTGACTACAGGAGAGAATCTGCACTATGTGTAGAGATTTAAAATAGTATGTAGGTAGAGAATAATTTTTGTTTTTTAGACAGACTGTAAATCACAAATTTATCTACAGAAGTTAATAAATTTATTGATTTATTCATTGGTAGATTAATCGCATTAATTATAAAAGTTCTGAACAATGTCTTTACTTAGAGAGAATAGTGACGTCACATGATGTATTTACTGTTTACTTAAAACAATTGCGGCTTCCATCGAAGATTGTGTTGCCCAATCCAATGTTTAACGCGTTCTAAAGCTAATTTTCTGTCGGCTATAACTTTAACAATACGTCCGTTTGCTGTTTTACAATACATTTTTCTAGCTCTACAATCTAAAGACAAAGATCAGCTGTC